GTTTAACTATTATACATGATGTAAATTTTTTTGGGAGGTGGTTAATGAAAATATTCCAAAACACGACATTAATTTCTTTACGACTTAATACTATCAGTAACAACACTAACAAAACATGAATAACCCACAGGCAAAGTTAACCCATACAAACATTATTTTTTTGAAATTTGTAAGTTGCAAATTGTTTTAATATTAATTAATGAACTAATTATAGACTTACATAACTGCTTTGAACTGTATGAACAGTGGTCACATTTAAATGGTTTATCCTCACAGTGAATCCTCGCATGTATTTTCAAGGCTGAGCGAGTGGAAGCTGTGTAGTTGCATTGGCTGCATCGCTGAGACTTTTCATTATGCTCACGTTCATGTTCCTTAAGGGCTCGGCGAGAGGGAGTGGTAAAATTACAACTTGAACATTTCAAGGGATTGTCTGTACAATGGTTCACTCTTATGTGGGTTTTTAAATTTGCTGAGTAAATAAATACATAAAATTATAACAAGTCAATAAAAATAAATTTTGTACATAAAAATACAAACATTTAATAATCAGATAAAGCTAAAACTACCCACTTTGTACTTTGCTATGAAGTTCAATAACCCACAAAATACAATGGTAGATTTATAGAAATAAAAGTAATCACAGTAAGGAATTTCTATGTAAGAATACATCCGAAACTCATTAGTGATGCATTTCCAATACAAATAATTTTGCATTTGAAGTATAATGTGGCTTGCCTAATATCAAATTACTTAAAATAATGAAGACAAAATTCTTTTAAGTCTAAACAATAGAAACAACAGAAAATTAATGAGAATTATTTTCTGTGCCAAATTGGTTGTTACTCCCTATTATAACAGTTTCATAGTTCTATAGCAAAAACTGATCAAAATCATATAAAATTTTCAGATTAATTTATCCAGTAATCTTGGATAAATAAGAGAATAAATAAGTTTATCTACCGAAACAAGTACATACACTATTTTATTTTCAAAACTACATGTTCAACTGCACTCACGGGTATATCACTTAATAGCAGACACGAGTAACACAACAAATATTGAATATTTAATCAAAATGTAGCATGGTATTTTTCTCAGATATATTAAAATTATTAAACATTTATATATATATATATATATATTTAACATTTACACACATAAATTTTAAGATAATATAAATTACAGTCACATATATATGGATGCAACTTTTATACAGTTGCATTCACACTACTTACAAACTTTTCTTAATGAAATCAAACTAATTAACAAAAAAAACATTTTTCGTTTATTTGTCTTATTTAGGCTGTAAGGGTTTAACAGTGAAGAAAATATATTGGTAAAAACTTCACCTAAGGCAATGTTTTTATATATAATTTTACAATTTGTTCAGGTAATGTTACAATTGCAGTTGAAATGTTCATTTACTTTAGTTTCTTAAAAAGACAGGGCATTACCTGAACCAAATATTTTTCCCAGCTGTAGCAAAATAAATAGATTTATCTATCAGTTTCTTTAAATGTTTTATTGATCATCTATATTTTCAAAGTAAATATCAGTTCTTCACTAAATGATGTCTTTACCTTTTATTGCACAACGATAATTGCACATATCACATTTGAAAGGCTTCTCCCCTGTGTGAATTCTCATGTGCCGCTTTAGGTCTGAATTTATTTTAAACTTAGTTTCACAGATGACACAGTAAAAAGGACTATCTCCTGTGTGAGTACGTAAATGAACTGCCAGCTGACTCGATCGGCGACATGCATATGGACATATCTGGCACCTAAGTCATTAAAAATATATATAACTGAAAGGAGAAGTTAATTTTAAACTTATTAAAAGAAAAAAAAACTGTATGCTATTTCTCCAATACAAGTAGACATGTTGCAACAAGTCTTGATTTTCTTTATAAAAGATTAAATAGTCTGCTTGAAAAAACAAAATCCCCCCCCCCAAAAAAAAAATTACTCCAATTAAAGTAAGACATAGAAAAAAATAACATTAATTAATAGCAAAAAATAAACAGTGAGAAAAAAAAGTATATTGTAACTTCAAATTTTTAAATTATTTTCAGTGTATCAAGTAACCAGCATTTCTTAAAACTTTGGGTGCTTACTGAAATTCTTCTACAAAGGGTTGAGTATGTTACATCAAAATGATTTTGAATATGCAAGTCAGCAAATCATGATGAAACAGAATGTATCAGAACTACATTTGGACATTGTTTATCATTCTGTAGGAAATGTGGTGCTACTGAAAACTGATCACTTTAAGGAAGGGTAGGTAACTGTTCATACATTCAGATAATCAAAATGTGTTAATAGCAGTTGATGATAAAAGAGTATATTCCAATTGGCAGTGTTGGAACCATCCAGAAAAAAACCTGCAGCAAGTCATACCCCAGCTTGTAACAGGAGATAATCCATGAAAACAAAAATGAGTGGTAAAAATGTCTGTATGCCCCAAGACTTGTGATAGATCCTTTTGCAATGGAAACTACACTGCAGGGCTATGTCAAGATGCACAATTGTCAGATAGAACATGACCAGAGGTGCATGGCAACATGAACTTGTGATTAGGTTCCAAAATCATTTTAATATAATGTACTCAACCTCTGTAGTCTGAGATTAAAGATTATATTTTAACTATCAGAAATCTTAAAGATATCTTCTTAAACTCATGTATGCTGATAAAAGCTGTTAAAGACTTAAACAGTCCTTACTTATGTGGTCTTTCATCCGTGTGGGTACGAAGGTGTTTTGTTAAACTGCCTCTATCTTTAGCCGCATAATCACCTGTAAAAACATGAAAATACTTGCAATTTTCATAAATAGATGCTTGAAACTTTTATGGGTTTGTAATTCCTACCAATTAAAACACAACTCTCTTCCCTAATAAAAAACATCTACCCTCAAATTCAGCTTAGAATAATATACAGACCTAGCCTCTGCATTAAAGACTTATTTCAGTACAAAGGTCAAGTACCTAAATTTCTACGTTCATGGCTTGTGTATAAATATATGTGTAGTGACTGTAAGGTTGGCAAAACGAAATGCTACTTAAACTGTAGAGTCTGTGAACATTTAGGAGTATCTAACCAAACCAACCATCCACTCATCCATTCATTCACATTCTGAAACCACGGGTCACAATATTTCATTTAACGATTTCTCTGTCATCGCCGCAGGATCTTAAGACCTTGACCTCTACATCAAAGAAAATCTATTCATAACTAAAGACTGTCCAACCCTTAACGACTCACAAAGCTCTTTAGATCTAAAATTGTTCTAAGTTTCACACTTAACTCAGCTGTTGTATATTATGTATATATAAACATTGTTTCATCCATCCATTTACCGTTTTTCTTAATAACTAACTCAACTAATGATTACGTTATTATATTATAATTTTAGTAATAATCATCTTTGTAACACAATTTTCATATTTTGCTTAAGATGGAATAAGTTATTCTGAAATGTTTGAACCTTATAAATAAAATGTTTTATGTTTTATCAACTGTCTTCAACTTCATTATTAAAATCTTTTTTCTACTTATAAATTTCTCCTTTAATCATGTTCCTACCTTCAGTGTTAAAAGATATTTTCTACCAAAGTGTACAACAATTCATTGCTTCCATATCTCTATGAAACTATTACAACTCTATCAGAAAAACCGATTCATAAAAGCACAGCTTACAGTTAGGACATTTAAAGGGCCTTTCCTTTGTGTGGGTTCTTTGATGGGCTTTAACTTTATCTGATCTACTAAAGCGTTTTCCACACAGTTGACAAGAAAATGGTTTTTCTCCTGAATGGATTCGCTGATGTCGACAGTAGTCCTTCGAATAAGCTGAGGTGAACTTACAATCCTCATATGAACATTTGTATTTCTTAACCTGAGGAGCTTTCCCTGCAAAATATAACAAAACTGGTTTTATTCATGGCTAAATTCATATACAAAACTCTTTAGAAAATTTTAAAGGGTACTTGTTTAGATTTTTTTTAGGACTTGTAGGAAGAATGAGGAGATATGGTTTCACTTTACTACTATGTGAAAGCAACCTTGTGGTTGTGGCTAAATTGATGCCTTTGAGCAACTTATTTTTAACATATTTGCTTTAAAAAATATATGTAAGCAATCATAAATTAAAATTAAATTAAATTACTGAAAACTATTTTAAGACTGGTTTAATGAAGCAAAACATGGTCCGATTTAATGTAATGTTAAAGCGTAGTTTGGAAGCCACTATCATGAAATGTAACTTCATTCACACTGTTCTACTTGCCTTTAGTTGAGTTAATTGACAATTAATTATTTCAGCATGTAACATAATAGATATAACATAAAAATTACATGGCACAGACAACCACAGCAAAGTGTAATGGTGAACTATAACTGTTATTACATCCTAACAGATATTCATGTATAGCAAAGTATAAATGTATTGCCAAAAGCAGGGTTTGAAACCCTTAACCCTAAAACTTGATATTAGATGTTTTTTTTATCAACCAAGCCAAAAGGCTAATCTCTTATACTAGTAAAGTAGTGCAGAATGTTTGTAGTGCATTCTATAATAATTTACATGTACTAGAAACAATGTTGGCTTAACTTTAAAATTGATCACCCAAAGATTTCTCAATTCACAAAGCTATATGACCACACCCACTGAGAGATCATGAAGGCTGGGGAAATTTTTCTAAGCCTTTGTTATTTATTCCTGTTTTCCTTATTAAAAATCAACAACAAAAAATCCTTGAAAATAAAACAAAAAAGGAAAAAATACATTGTACTGATAAACCAAAAATGTATTAAAGTTTATGAAAGACACTACAGATTTCTAAGTTAGATTGCCAGTATTAAAGATGAGGTTGCTTGTTTACTGGGCCAGAATACAATGTATTACATTCATACTACTTTTCAGTACACTAAATTGTAAGATAGTGTAGTATAAAACAATGCAGTATACTACACTTACGTGTACACAGTACTGAAGCTTCCTCCAATGTAGTATCTTACTTCTTTGGATTTGGGTCATATAACATTCTACATTTTATAAGAACATGAAATTACTGAACACAAGTACAATGAAGTTGTTCATTGCTTCAAAAACAAGTCAACCAATATGTTTAGGAAAACATTTAGAACTTTTTTTTTAAGTACATGTCTTTCTCAGTGTATGAGATTAGATTTCTGCATAGTGATGGATCTTAATTCTTGTAATTTATTTATCCTTTTAAGCACTACTGAATACATATTTTTTATGGAATTTACTTGTGGTTTACTATTTTGTTTTTCAACTAGGAAAACACTCCAAGAAATATTTATATTTTCAGGTTCAATAAAAGTCAAAGGCACAATACAAGTAAACCTCTGGTTGTACATCTGTTTTCTTGTTACTAATCGGAGATCAGTGGGATCTTTACATTAAAAGACATTGGCTGCTTTTAGACTCTATAGAAGCAACAATATGAATAACTGAGGTGATATTATTTTGGGCTAAAGTCCTGGTAATCCAGATCAGTAAAGAAAATACCAGTGCCAATCGAGACTAATACTACAGAACCTTAAAAAATGAATACATGTCTAACTCCAATTTAGTTTCAAAACAATAGTGCTAGTAAGATAAAGCATTATAAACACACTGGAAAATTTTATTTAATTGTAGAAAAAAAATCGTTAAATACTGTAACCCATCATGATTTAGCTGTCTCATTCCATTTGTTGTCCTTACATTGAAGATTCCAATTTAATCAAGTGATCACAATATCCACATGTCATAATACTGTTCCATTACCAGCTGAATGTAGATGAATGTAGTACTGACTTGCACATACTGGCTAACTCTTCCAGTATTTGGGAGGATGAGGGGTTCATACCAATCCTTCCCCAAAGCCCATAAAATCTCTCGACAGCCCTCTACATGACAACTAAAAGCATCACATGTGAATGCAAGTGCAAAAAATTTTATTTTTAATTCAGGAGATATTCCAAATTTTCAATTCTGAATTGCTGCACATATAAAACACCTCCCACAAGATGAAAAGAAATGCCCTAAAAATTTAACTTTCATATTTGAGCTTAAAGAAATTGCTACTGTAAAGTCATAATTACTTTCTTACTGCTGTTTAAGTGTACATTATTTCAAATAGGTATTAGTAGTTTCCTCTGCCAAAATGCAGGTTTCAAAGCAGTTTACTGAACATTTTATAAAATATTACAAGAACAATCACAGACATACTCTAACAAAAAAACACATGATTAATGAGTTAAATTATACATATCAGATTATCAAGAACTATTACAGGGGGCTTTATATATACTGCTAACATGGTGCCCATTAACAATGTTGTGGTGTCCAGAACTTACCAACAATTAATGAACAAGTGCATACATTTAAATTTGAAATATTCACACATAATTGAAAATCAGGATGACAAATATTTATATTGACAATTTGAAAGACCATTAAGCATTAGGCAAACTACCGATTCAGTCTTCTTGTGAAAATGTAATACAACATTTTTCAAAGAAATAAATTATATTCCCCTAACTTATAAACAAAATATTTTGAGTGTAAAGTTCATAATACATTTTTTCTTTATCGTTTAACCTATAATGAATAAAATCTATATAACAATATCTTATATTTAAACTAGTAATTACTCTTTAAAGCTAACAACACACAGGTTAAAACAAATTCCATCTGGATAAGATGACCAGTATGTTGGATCCCATACAATCATAATAAAAAAAAAACATTTGCAATGACCAAGACACCAGGATTTTCAACATAAAAAGCAAGTATTCAATTATGTCACTGGGGTTTTACTACACTACTCTCTTTATCTTAAATGAAATTCTATAAACCTACATTAACTTTCTTCATATGAAGAAAATGTTAAGGTTTATTGACTCTCATGTACTGGGTACTCTGTTTTAACTTTTTAAGTGAGTGTCAAGTTTCCACTGAAAGTTTTAAAATAAACCTTAGCTGTACTTACCTTGTATTGTACAGGTTACTTTTGTAGCTGTTGTATCTGTCCCCAACATACCAATACTTGCAGGGAGGATGATTGAGGCGGTGTAGAGTGGTTGTACAACTGTATCATGATCCTGTGTGATGCTGCCCACACTTTCGGGAAAAAATATCAAATTTAAATATTTTTTTATGAATTACATACTCCTGTCTTCATGCTAAATAAGATTTTTTTCCTATATTTTGATTAAAAAAACTGGTTGAAGACATTTTTGCTAAATAGCTTTCTCTCCCTTTTTCAGTTGTGCAGTACAAAACTTGCACTAAATCTCTGTTATATCAAACATTTAGTATAATGAACCCTATTCATAAAAAACGTTTTTATTATTTTCTGAAAAGGACTATGTATTGCCTAACATAAATGCATTTTAAAAAAGTTTCTTCTTTTTCATACAATAGGACTCACACTTTTAGGGAAAAAATGTAAAATTTAAATATTATTTTAAGAGTTACATATTTTGTCTTCATACTAAATAAGAAATTTTTCTTGTATTTTTATTTTTTTCTTAAATGGTTGAAGAAACACACACACACATACCTAATGGGATTATTTTCACTATGTACAGTTTCACTGACAGCAGCATCACAAGAATGATGATTTACTGACTGCTCAGGTAACATAAAGCCTGGAAGGTCTGATTCTTGAGATGTATTTATTGCAGAAGCTGCATTACTCACTTCTTGTTGAGTTGGAGGTAGGCCCATGCTTGAGGTATGAAGCTTTTCATTTTGTACATGACAATGGTGCTGTTTGTGTAACAAAAACTCTTCTATATCTGAAAACTGAGTTTTACATGCTCCACATATGTGAATGTCTTCCATATTTGTGAACTATTTGGGACATGAGAAACTGGATAAATGAGATAATGATATAATAAGCCAGATAGTTTTGAGATAAGAGTTTAGCAACATAACTTAAAAAACAACAAATGAAATTAAGAAGGGCATGCAATACTTTCTAGTTTAGAAAAATATACAATATTGAAATAGCTTCTATGCAAAGTTATAATTTTCATGACTGACTGCCAAGAAAATTAGATTACTAACAAGTTATAGAAGAAATTTTACTTAAGCTTGTACTTTTATAATCATATAAAATATATGAAACACATAAAAACATTTATTATAGAAATTTAGTTTTGATACAGAAATTGTGTACATTTTGCAAACATGCTGGACAAAATTATAATGATGACAAATGTTTCTGAGTCACTCTTATAAAACAAATTCTGTGCAACATATAGTGCATATTATCCAATAACTAATATTTATACTTTGAAACAAGATATTAAACTGTTACTATGAGTATTTTCTGTTTTATAAAAATCAAGTCTGTTGATTTGAAACTTGCAAAAATTGTATCTCAATGTCTGAAAAGGCTTTCAGTAACAGTTACATTAAGGTATACATAGCCAACTCAGAGGAAAGATAAATTATTATAATGAGCTTCTGAATTCATATACATGTAGCTTATTATTCATAACACACAGAAGCAAGTACTATCAGCTTGTATTTAAGTTAATAATCCAAAGGAAAAGTATGTTGGAATTCAAAGACTCCCACCATAAGAGACACTGCTGATTATTTTATAGGAAGAAACTGATACTCTGACTCAGACAACAGTTAACCTTATTGAGGCCAATCAGAAAACACTAAGATCATCAGGTCTTAAGTTTAAAAAGAAAATAATTTTTGCATACATCTACAAATCTTATAGTTTTATTTACATGGATCTCATTAAAAACTGAGTATGCAATAGAGGAAAAACACAAAATGTTTTGCAGCATTTTTCTTCAAGTATTTATTCACGGTTTTGATACTGTAGGCCAGCACCCAGCAACACCCATGCCCACCAAACCCTTTTTACATATTTTATGTAACTATTTAGAAGTACAGTAAGGTAAAAGACTTCAGCACATTTTTTTCTTCTATGAATCTTTCCTCAAAAAATTAAAGGAGAAAACTTTAGTAACACAAATTGATCAATCAATAACTTCAATCTAATTTGATATAATGCTAGTGATGAATCTAGGATTTTAAAATGGAGGAAGAAAAGCAAAAAGTATATCATGGAAAATGCACTTACAAATAATAAAATTGTCAAAACATTACATGCAAGAAACCTGAAATAGTTCATAAAGCAAAGATACTACCATAAAACTATCATACCTCATATAACAAAACACTTCACATCATAAATACAATGTTAAAAATAATTATATTATAATCTGTTTGTAAATCCTAACTGTGGCATGGCTAAATAACCATTATTATATAATGTCAATGACACTCCTAAGGTAATTTTTATGCAAAACAAGTATCAAGTAAACAATCCTGCAATTTGATATGCAAATATGTACTACTGCAGTCCATGTCCATAAATGCTCATATGGTATTACAGATGTTGTAACCCAACAAATGGTGAAGAAACATTTGTTAATAAGATATATGGCAACTACAGCCACTAATGCAAATTTGACATTGATGTGACAAGCTTAAAATGAGTGAATCAATGAGCTGCTTGTACAGTATGGTTCTCTCCTCCATAACAATTGATTCCAGGTTGCTTGGAGGTGAATCACACACTGCCAAGCACCTCCTATATACCTTATACATATTAAATGATATTTTAGTCTAGTAACTGTATTTTTCAATCCATTTGTTCTATTTCTTCTTCCAGAATTGTTAGTTTGTTTGTTGTTAAGCATAAAGCCATACAATGAGTTATCTGTGCTGTGCTCGCCACAAGTGCTTCTTCCAGGAAATTGCTACACACATGAGAATTGTAAGAATGGATGATATTAGGAGTGCTAAGTCTCAAATAAAACAAATACAGCATTAATTTCCTAAGACAAGTTTTGTGTGTTGTTTTATATACTAACCCTCCATCATAAGATTAGATTCCCAATTGGGCAGTACAGACACAATTAACTTGTGCAAGTATCATACCTGCCATATACTAAATTAGACAATTTTTTTAACTACTGTGCAAGAACTAGGATTTTAACCGAGACTGAAGTTTGTTCAAACTTTCCACAAACAATGAAGTTTTAGTTTTTCTAATAATCTCATATATATTTATAGTTGTTTCTTTTTCAACAACTATCTTAATGCAAGAATAAAGTGTGACAGTACTTTATATGAATTCAAGAGTAATTATTATTTCTATACAAAAGTTGTATAAAGTATAGAAGTAGTTTAGAGCAATAGGTAATGAGAATATTGTATGGAAAGAAAATTATTTTAAAACATAATTCTGTCTTGAATTACGATGAGAAAAGTATGGTAAGCTTGATAAATTTAAAGAGAAAACAGCATTCAAAAATGTTTTTTGCTACCCTTTCTTCTACTTCTAGTTCTAGGTTTAGGCAACACATACTAAAGAAATTTTGAGGAATTAAACACTACATTCCAAATACTTTCTCTTAATTTTTAAATTTTTTGAGATAAATTGTGTATAATATTATATTTTTAAGAAAAAACCCAAATTTTATTTACAACAACAAACACCTTCATTGAAATATCATTCGTAATAACTAGCCAATACTGTAACAGTAACACTAACAAACAATAATTTTCAAATACTAAGCATCGTTATTCTTGCTTAATATGTCTGCGGATAACAACTTAAACTTCGTACATACCTTATAAAATTCCAGTCCAAATACAATTCAGCGATGATAAAAGCAAATCAGTCGAAACTAGTATTATAACAATATAAACAATTAAAACTGAAATGACTACAGACTGTATTTTGTATAACAGTAAGTGAGTAATACGTAGTTGTACAACTAACAATACTACAAAAACGCGTGTTAACTTTAATAATCGTGTGAAGAAAAATAATAATAATAAAATTAAAAGATAAAGTATTTTTATTCAAATTTCAATTCACGCACTACTGTCACGAAAAGTTAAAAATGCTCAAGAATTAAGACTAAAATAGTTCATTATTTAAAAAAAAAAGTTTAGACGCTATACTCGCTAGTAATAGTATTACTATTAGTGTACTAGTATTTAGGGATTTCTTCTTATTTAAATGTCCCACATGTAACATTTTTAAAATTACTACTTTTGCAGTATTTTTGTAACCACATAACTTTTTCACATACTCAATAAACTAAATAAATAGTTACTTAAATAAGGTTAAAACAAACTGAAACTTCTAAAAAAATTACTCATTTCATAAGTTATAGCCCAAAACCATCACACAGTACTCGCCCTCTGTAAAAACTACTTTATTTCACTATATTCAATCTATATATTTGAATCTACTTACTAATCCAAATGAACATCTTACAAGCTAAGTTTCATTTTTGTTATCCAATATCATAATTTAAACGTAAACGTTATTTTAAAATCATAATGTTCCATACTAAAATGTAGTGCTATAAATTGTCTTAGTTTATTATGTTATCTGACCTAAGATGATCTCCACATAAAAAAGCTAATTATTTTTTCAAACACATTTTTGTTTTAAGTTTGAAAATAATAATTCTCAATAGTTATGTTAAAAGAATAACATCCTATATTAAAACATAATTTACTGTTAATTCACTGTGCATTAAGAACTTTCTACTGTACTAGTGAGATAACTAAGACGATAGATGGCTTTACAGCCTTTCGAAGCCACCCCTCTCCTTCCAAAACAGACAAGAATTTTGTTGTGGGCTATATTTTGTTTTGGGTTGTATGTTATCTAGAAAACACAAAACGCAAGTAAAATGGTGGAAATATACCTGTGGCGTTCTAGATGACGTCAGAAACATCTAGTAATTTTGTATAGTACCTACAAAAAGGTTATAGTATAAATACTATAATCAGTGAAGTACTGAGTAACTGTTTTAAGTTGGTAATGGACGTTAGCAGTGAAGTATTTTATTAGTGTGAAAGAAGTTGGATCGGTACCAGTTATTACGTATATTCAGTTACATGGTCGATTGACTATAAAATTGTATATGCAAGTTTCTTTTTCGTCAGAAATAGTAACATTAGCAAGGTACTTCCGTTTAGACGTTATTTGTAAACGTGGGCCAACAAGTAATAGTTACAACAGTATGTAAGTGGTTTGTAGAAAGCGAAATAAGGAAATAAAATAACTTGTTATTGTTACTTCGATTGAATTCCGAATTATTTTCATCAAATAGAACCCGTCCAACCAAATAAAAACGCTAAAATAATATCTATTCTTTAATAATTCTATCAACTGTACACTCCGAAACATCTGATAAGCTATTGTTACGTATCTGCTTGTTTGATAATTTCCGGTAGAAATTCTTTCCGAGGAACTTCAGCAATACAAGTCCTTTCTTGATTAAACTAGTTTATTCTTTCTTTATACAAACTTTTAGTACACAGTAATTTCATAATCAGTACGTTTCTCGTCACTTTAAACTTAACTACTTTTGTAATACACGCTATAAATCACAGCGATTCAAAATCTCGAAAACACACACAAGCTCGCAAGCTTTCTTATATACCAAAAAAAAAGAGGGCGTTTCGAACAAACTCGGTCTTCCCCGCTAATTCATGACCATTTGATAAATTCATCACGTGTTACCAGTGTCACGTGACTTCCGCTGCCGTAACACTGCCCCTTTCCTAGTATTGTTCATCCTGAACAATAGCCACTTACATTAAACCAATAGATAATTAACAATAACTTAAATAAATGTACAGAACTTACAAACACAAAATTAAAATACAACAAAGTCTCTTAATTTTACAGGACGTTTCTTCTTTTGTACTGTTCTCCGTCTCATTGGCTTCTGCTTCACGAGGGGTTCATCTGCTCCATCAGGAAATGCCCCATTATTGCTAGCAGTCACATTAGTGGTAGTAACTTCATTAACGGCTTCACTGTTTTCCCTCTCAAAACTGGGTAGAGTTTCTTCTTCAACAGTGGCTTTCTCAGGTGACACGTCTTCGGCAGCGTCATTTGTTCCATTTTTCAATTTGTTCCAACTGAAATGACCTGGACCGTGATAACGCCAAAGCCTGTTGGCATGCACCACCTTTGGCTTACCTGAGAGACGATCCATTATTTCATATGGGCCTTCCCATGGAGAAGACAACTTAGGAGACTTCCCTTTGGTCTTCCTGGGATTATACAACCATACCTTGTCTCCTGGTACAAAGCTGACTTCAGTAGATTTCTTATCATAACATAGCTTCATGGAATCAGCAGACGTTTTTAAGTTCGAATGCACTTGATGATGAATTTCATCTATCTTTTCAGATAACACTTTCACGAACTCTGGCACATTTTCAGGCAATTCTTCGTAAGGTGGGCGTCCTGTTATCAGGTCCACTGGCAACTGAAGTTCCCGACCAAACATCAGCAT